TAAAATTTTAAGCATTCTCAGTTTTGTTTGATGTTCAGTTACTGCCACTATCGAGCCCAAACAAGACAAAATATTCAACTCACAAAGTGGCCTTTCCCATACTGTGAGTCGCTGTACATTTGGTGTAGGAGAAAGTGTATATCTAGCGTTGCGCCATTTTTTGATTTGAAGGGTATCCATAATCTTGTTATCGCGCGAAACACAGCTCTGTTATATAAACTGAGGCAAGCTGAGAAGGGCAAGACAATAAATTTTTGCTATGTTCAAAGCTGCAATACACTTGCGTGCAAATATGTGGATTGTGGTAGATAGAAATGTTACGCATGGCCAGTTAAACTTCCTCAACTTAAGTTGCGTCTTTAAAAAAAAAGCTGAATTGTCAAGTTTGACGCACTCCAGATGATTATAAATGCATTTTAAGGGCTTCCTTTTTTGTCTCCAAGCGAGGTCTTCTTAGACTGTGGCCCTTGAGCTAAGACCTTGCTTAAACTTATATTTGTAAACTTTCTAAAATAATTTCTATGGAATTAATTCACTATCATGCATAAAGGATAGGTGCCGTTTCGATTAACTTTATTCCGCAAACCACGATACTCACGTTGCTTCTTCTAATTACACCGCAATTTAGTTTTCTTTATAAAGTATCCATTTATCAATAGCTGTCGGTCGACGCGCGGCTCTATCTACTGCTCCGTCAAAATAAGACCTCCCGGCCTGAAATCTTTCTCTACTGTCTTCAGAGTTAATTTCCGTAATCTTACTTTTTTCCGAGCATTGTTTTTCAGATAAAAACACGATATGAACGTTAAACTTAATTATTCAGATTGATGCTATTTGGAAGTTATAGAGGGTTGTGGCAAAGACTGGTAATCAACAAATCAAGTGTAAAAAGAGTAATTTTAATAGCTTCTTTTCTTTATTTGCTTCAGTTTTAGTTTTCGCTTTGCTTCAACTGGCCAAGGCGCAACACAGTAAGTATCTGCTAGATTTCACTTGTGTCATTATTGTTATTATAATCATAACTATAACTAAATTGTCAATTCTGGTTGGCTATCAACTGCCCTGATTTCAGCCTTCATTACATTCACTTTGAAATCACTGGCGATCCGTGAAATCTGATTGGCTCTCAGCAATGTGATTTATTCCCAAATCGCACCATTATTTGCTCTAAATCGCATCGTTTTCCAGCCAATGAAAAAGGAACACTTAAACAGCACAACCAAACATATTTCAAATCTTGTTCAAAGTAACAAATCAAATTGCAGCTAAAATGGCTGTAATGAAGTAGCAACTGAACTTCGTGTCCTGCAATTCTGGCCTGAAATCATACTTTTGATTTCAATTCGATTTCAATTTTGAAATCACGCGTATGTTTTCAGACCTAATTTCACATCTCCACTCACTTCAATGACCATTGTTAACTGGACAGTTTAATAAGACAGTAAGCGTTATGCCTAAGTAATTGGACAGTACGCGCCAACACGCACGCTCTTAAATGGCTTTTTTTCTTCACTGTTAGCAAAAGAAAAAAATCTTGGAATTTCTTGCGTTTCGATTTAAAAAAAAGAGCCTATTCTATCACAAAGATTGTTTAAGTTAAGTTCAATGAGATTGTGAGGGTAGCCTCTTCTTTTAATCGGTTAGTTATATCCCACACGTTGTACAGAGGCGTTTCTCCTCAAATCAAGTGCCTTTTAAAGCTGTTTAGTCCAACACGGACAAATATTTAACAGTGAACAGGCAATTGAACACACATGGACACGAACCAACTTCCTGAAACAGCAATCCCAAGGAAACTGATGGCAGGCTGAGACTAGGTTCCAGGCTCTTGAGTCTTGTCAAGCTCATCCACCCTCAGGATCTTGTGTTACATCAAATCTTTTATTATTCCCCAGCCATGGGAAAGGAAATACGGTCAAATGGCCAGGGAATGCCCCCCCCGCCCCCACCCCTACCTGGGGCTTAACATTGACTGGTGCATTCCAGTTTGACAAAGTTTGCAACCTAGGATGTAGGTTCATATAAGGTTGAAAAATTTGCCCCATTTTCTATGTTGTGGGCAAAAATCAATGTGAGGATCTTAAGAGACTTGCTCTTAATTTGAACTATTCGATTTGTAACCTGTTTATTGAC